TATTGAGCTGTTTCTATCCAAAGAATAAATTACAGCAGTGGTTCCCAACCTTTTTTCATTAGCGTACCCCGTGACATGTCATTTCTCTATATTGTACCCCTCATTTAAGAAATTTAGTGAGTAATCGTATTGTTAATTTTACATGTTGTAACTTTTAATTTAAAAAAACTAATTTATAATGTTGATAAAGAGAATATATTTACGTTCATACATGTAAAAATAAACACATTTACAATACAAATATAAAAATTACAATAAAAATAAAATTGCACAAAAAACTAACTTCAAAGTATTTAATTTCGTATGAAAGGAGTTCAGTGTGAGCCTTGTCCTTGTTTTTTCTCGCATAATTTTTTTATGTCAGGTTCGACTGATGCGAGGTACAATCTCAAATCTGGAACTGCCTTCAGCTTATTGCGATACTTATTTTTAATATACAGATAGGAAGAAAAAGCTCTTTCCACAAGCACAGTACTTGTAAATGGCAACAAAAATTGAAGTGCTTTATCAGAAAGTAGCTCAAATTCTTTGTTAATGTCTGCCCAAAAGTTAAAAAGAGATTTTGATTTAAATTGGCATTTTAAAATCGAATCGGTTGAAATTTCGATCAAATTCTCTTTTTCCTTACTTGATAATTTAGCTACCTGAAAGTATTCCTCTTCAAATGGATTTAGAATCCAATAGTTTGTGTTGTCAGGTTTTGGAAAGTATTTCTGAAAATCCGATTTTAATCCTTGTAAATGTTCAACTATTTGTTGATTTAATTCTGGAGAAAGTCGTAATTTGTTTTCAGATAAGAAACTGTGCAATGTTTCAAATACTTCAGGTTGACTATTTTTAATACATAACTTCCAAAAATCAAATTTTTTAATTATAGATTCAATTTTGTCAGACACAGTAAATATCGTTGTTTTATCTTGGAATGCCAAATTTAACTTATTTATATGCAGAAAAATATCTGATAAATATGCGAGAGCCTGAAGCCATTTATCGTCATGAAATTTGGATGAGAGCTTGAAAGGATTGCTTTCAAAAAAAACTTGTACCTCATGCCTAAGCTCGAATAGTCTGGTAAGAACTTTACCACGAGATAACCATCTCACTTCTGTATGAAGGAGCAATGTAGAATG